TTTCAAGATAAACAATCCCTCTGCTACGTGAGAAGTTCCCGGACAGAATAATCTCGCTGCTATATCGTTACTTTGAGTTGAAAATAATATCAAAAATATTTTATTTTTAGCTAATATGAATAATTGTTTGTCGAATAAATTAAATCTTTAAGAAAAAATATTTATTGACGTTTATAAGTTTGAATTGATAAATAAAATCAAAGTATAATTTTAGTTTTACAATGCAAGATTAAAAATTTAATTGTGGAAATATTATGATAAATATTTTGTAATTAAGTTTTCCCAACTAATTATTATGTAAAACAGTATTGTACCAAAACGTTTGCAAATACTAACTGCCAATTTTTTTCATTCATAAATAAAAGCTATTTAAATATATATATTACTATTATACTACTACTTGAAATGTGGTTGAGGTTGACCAGTTAAATATAGGATATTCAGGGAAGGTTTTTTAGTTCTTTTGAATATATTCAATCGTAGCACATTAAAGTAGTAGTGACATTAAAGAGAAAGATCTTATTATTATAAATAGATGTAGATTCGTTTATATAATGATTATGGTTTATTACATAAATATAACAAATGAATAATTTCTATATCAGACCAATAAAGAATTTAGCTACAATGGATGGTCGCTATAGCCAAACTGTCATTTCTTACTTATATTCGATATTGACCATAGGCCATAAAAGGGTATATGGTTTTAGAGACTAGAGGAGGATGTAGCTTGTAATCGGCTAATACACATATTGACATATTATGAGTAAGTATAAGCTAATTATGATGTAATGATTGTTACAATGTAAATATAATAATTAAAACAAATAATTAAAAACTTCCATTGACATGATGTAATGGCATGCGATTATTTTTAAATGACGTTTAAGATTTTATGTAATATATCAAGGTTCAGGGAAGATATTGTATTCATAAAAAAATTATAACTTATGCATTTAGTATTCATTTAGTGTATTATTTTAAGTCAATAATACAATATTATATTTGTATTATTCCAAAATTCATATTAACAAAACAAAAATAAATTATAGAAAATACAGTACTTGTACTTAAAAAATAATGTCTCTCATATTTTGTTTACTTCATTCTAAATTATGAGAACTTATTTGTTTTTTTTATCATTATAAATACATAAATATCACATTCATGAAAAAAATATAAATAAATAACAGATTTCAAATAGTAGGTGTTTTGCATTTATATGATTTATTGTTAAGATAATTATAAAATAATTTAAAGACATAAAGTCAATTTCAACAAATTGTTAATACTAAACTTAGCCACAATTACAACAAAAATAATACATTTAAATTAAATTGCATAATTAATAGTCAGTTGGAACATTGATTTTGTGCAAAAAAAAATGCAGACTAGAATCAATCACATAGTTAATTGTATAAACATAAAGAAAATTTAATCCACACATTCATTATTAATCTTTCTTTTTTGTATCTGATTTTTCATCTTTGTTACTTTTGAACGCTTTTGTAGTGTAATCAAATATTCCTCCAAAGAACAGTGCGCATATTAAGTTTTCAAATGGCAACATTGGCTCATGTATACCCAAAATCATTGAAGAAAACACCTAAAAAAATATTATATTTTATTTAGTTTTTATTACAGTGTTTAGTTAGTGATACTAAATGAAGTATAAATGTATTATATGATGTAATAAGATAACATAGTTATAATGTTAAATATTATAAGAGTATCAGTGGTTGAAATGGCTCAAGATAAGTGGAGGGATGCCTTACAATTCAAATTTCCTGATATCATAACATTCTTCACACCTTGTGTACCTACATTTTTTTTTTTTTTTATAGTTCACATAAGGTATATTATCTTAATCCGTGGCTCTAAATACGGGTTGCAAAACGGTTTATACTAAATAACAAGATAAACTGGGCGCCCAGGCCTGAATGTTAAAAAAAATTATTTTCACCAAAAAAAAATAATTTCTTATTTATAAATATAAAAATGATAATAAGTATATAATTTTAAAATACAAGTCTTAGGAGGAATGCGTTATTCTAGACAAAACAAATAGAGGGATGAAAACTGTAAATAAAAAAAAGTAAAGGGATGCCATCCCTCCGTATCCACCCCACTTTAAGCACTGAATCATATACAGAATTTGAATGTGTAAAAAATAAAATGAATAAGTTGTTAGGTTCAAAAGCCTTACAATAAATCTAGAATATGAATTTAATAAATCATTTAATATTAAAAAGAAAATTTAATTTAATAATTTTTGATTGCTATTATATTAAAATAATAATAATTTATGGTTCACTTATTATAATTGATTTGATGATATATTTAAAATGTTCAGAAATTATTTCCCACAGCTAAAAAAATTAATATTTACAGAGATAATCACTTTTTTTATCTAGCACACAAGTTATGGCAATAATATTATATCATTAGCTGTGATTATCTTAGAAATTATGTTGATTTAAAGTTATCTTTTGATTAAATTTTAAGCCATGAAACTTATTTAATTTAATATGACATCTAATTACATCATAAATAGTCAAATAAATAATAAATAAACATGTATAATAAATTAAACTAACCTTAAAGTATATGAAGAAACCTATGACGAAAACATAGACAAATGCATGTGGAGCTGATATCAAATCACTTTTAATATCAAGTACGAATACTACAGATGCTATAATGCATGCTTTGGTAGTACTGTAAAGAATAAAATATATAAAAATATTTTAATATATTAAAATTAAATAAATAAATAAATAATATAACACAATAAAATTTACATTTATGTAACATCAGTATACTTTGAGATAGATTGATATTATATATTTGGGATATGGTTGGTAAGAATTTTACAGAGAATTTCTAGAACACATTTAAGGTCTCAAAAAATATAAACCTACAGATTGTTATATCTAATTATCAACATTATCCGTTAAGATTATAATAATTAATTAATACCATAACCATAAACATGTTATGATGTATAATATTTAAAACAATAAGAAAACTTTACATACAAACTTGGTTGTAATGTTTCAATAGATGTGGGTGTCCATACTCCTCGTAATAGTCTTTCAATAATTTTTGTAAATGAAGCACCGTTTCCTGTAGTAAAAAAAATGATATATTTTTTGAATGAATACCGATGTCACATAACTAGTTTAAGAACACATAGTAAATTATAATACCTTTAAGTGTTCCAACAATAATCATTATGATATAAGCATTGGGATAGAGTTTGGCAGCATGCAACACACCATCGTGGACTTTTTTGCAACTGAAAAACATTTCTTATAAAAAAAAAATTTTCGAGCAGGAACAAAACAAATGTAATATGGTGACATTGGTACATACCGGTAAATTTCTTTCATAACAGAAAACACCAACTTCACGGGCAAAAACTTTGAAATACTGTATCCAATATCAAATGGTGTATAAAACACTAAATACCTGTAAAAAGTAATAATACAATGAAATCATTGAATCCCCAATCATAAGACTAAACTCCATTACCAGACTGCTGTAGCGATCACAAGTTGTTGGGTGTTTTTGAGCGGTGCTAGAGGAGGTTCACCGAGTAACGCAGCACTCAGCATACCACCAGCGAAGACAACCAACATAGTGGATAACCAACATGATATGGGGTGTTTACGAGAAAAAGCCAGTGCTCCTGTGGAACGTCAAACTAAGGTAAGTACATGGAAGTGTATAATTTTGAGATGAGAAATCGTAGACAACAGAGGTGTACTTACCCGGTCCGAGGTCGTCACGTACGTGAAGCGCACACAGTACACTATGGGCCACATCAAAGTAAGGGTACATTTTCAATTTGGTCACTTGACTAGCGAACTCCAAAAACGATTCGGCGTCCATTTTTGCTGCTAATGCGTTGCTGACCGTGGCGTCGGTGATGATATTGTTATCGCCGGGAGGACTTCGATTTACTTATTTATTGTGTACGAATAATGTATTAAATTAATAGTATCAATAACGGAACACCGTAATACGACTTTATAACTGCGTGGTGGTGGTAACTGTCGTCGGAAGATTCCGGGCAAAAAGGTTGTCGTTCCGAAATGGCTAGAGCGTGTGCCGGTGGACAGGATAATTATAGAACGGTGCCCAGGGAAGACTTTCGGTGTAAAAATAAAACGCACGACAGACGGCCGAGGAGCACTATCGGTTTTTAACGAAAGACTCGGCTGCCCAAGGTGGAACACTGCTGCAGGCCGTAAAAAATGACAAACGTTTAAACAGACATAGATAGGTACTTATATTTAAATGTTTATAATAATAAACACATAACGCAAACACAGAAGCGTTTATATCGATTTCATCACCGCCTCACTCCGACAATGTGTTTGTTTACATGTGTGCGCTAGGTAGGTCAACCGTCGTTATCAATATTGTTATCACCACCGCGCACCGATCACGGCTTTAGATAACGATAATGCAGCGGTGACCAACCAAACGATCGTGACACCCTTTCCCATTTTCTTGAATTTTCGAATTTTTTCAGAAAACAAATTAATTATTCTTTTTTTTTTTTTTGTATATGCCGCGGATATAAAAATTAGATTTCGAATAAGGCAATAAATAACTATGAAAAACGAGATTATACACAGATAGTAGGTAACTATCGTATAGCAACAAGTACATTTTACTCGTACGTACCTCGCATGTACATATGATGCAAAGAGAACGCAGGATTTAAATCTAGGAACTATAAATTAAATTTATTTCTTTTAAAAATAATAAAAAATATATCACTCTTCAGGAGAAGTTAAGGTTTAAAAGTGAGGGTTCGACGAATTTCTTGCTTAAGTTCCAAGACATTTCGAACTTTGTTCTGCTAAACTCGTGACTTACCTAGTGTATCCCCAAAAGTAAAAATCACACGGCGTCAAGGTCGCAAGATCGAGGTGGGTAGCTTTGGCCACGCAACGAAATTAGTCTGTCCGGGAACTTCTCACGTAGCAGAGGGATTGTTTATCTTGAAA